ACGCTAACAAAGACGTTAGCGAGTCAGTTACGACGGAATCAAGAGTACAGTTCGGAATTAATAAAGTTAAGTGCACCGTCTAACACAGGCCTGGACGTTAAAATGATGCTATGAAAACACAATGTTGTCAGCAAGGGAACTGGGTGCACGCGTGAGGGTAATAAGTTAAAGACTGAGCGAAAGGGGGAGTTTCTGTTTATGCGATACTGAGTTTTTCAAATGTTTTGTAAAGGATAATTTTTTTATTGCACATGGGTTGATTCACAAGGGTTTCAGTCTCCATTCAATAGATAAAGCATAATGAGACTGTTAGCCCGGTGCACGAACTTTGTAACACTGGGTGCGATCTAAATGTTTGCATACCACAATTAAATATAAACAGTTAGTCGAGTATTGGAACCTCTTAAGGCTAGTGTCCCATTGGGTTTAAGGCTGACGGCTGACGCTCTGAAAATTTATTTGCTTCTAGTTAGATTTTGCATTAGCAAATTCTCATTTCTGGACCTGGAGTCCGAAGCTTCTGTCGCCTAGGTACTGAGCTCAGTGCTTGGCGCCACACTGTGAGCTATGGATTTCACATGGAGTGCTTCTTCATTGTGCCCGCCACGTGTTGTTGACAGCACTAAAATATCAAGTGGCTGGTTACGTTCAGAATGGGGTGTAATTTTGCGGACACAGTGCCGCTGTTCACGATTAAAGGCTTGCCTCATCAATGAGCTGCTGTTCTGGTGTGGGACTGTTAGTGTTAGCAAATCTGACAGCTGTCTTGGTTCAGTGAAAGACATTTTGTGATATTTTCAGTGGCATAGGAGCCGAGTATTTATTAGGCGACCCGTCTGCAGAGATGCTTGAACCTTGAGAAGCTAATCAACTAATTCAAAAAATGACTGTCTAGATCTACATTTTTGTAGACCAATAGCCGCTAGATGAGCCGCCTTTACTTCCCGCGACATTTCTAGATAAACATTTTATTCTGGCTGAAACAGTGTTTACAGCAAAGAGGAAACAAACACCTAAAATGTAAAATCACAATAGAAGGCAATGTGTTTAAGCAGGTCAGCAAGTTAGATTGGGAGACAGTTATAATATCTGATGGAAGATGTGCAACTGAGATTAAGAGCAGGATATGCCGGGCGAAGGCGGCATTTCAAAAGATGAAGAGGTCTAGCTCATTAAACATAAGCAAGAATACTGAAATATTACGCGGAACCAGGGATGTTGTGTGTCTGTGAATCTTGGAATAGGAATCAACAAATTAAGAAGAGACCGCGGAGATGTGGTTTCCGTGATACACGCTGAAGAGACATATCTATTAACAACAACTGCCTGAGAGAGGTTAATGAACTTAGAAAACGTTATACAACTACAAGAAGGAGGCAGTCAGTGTGCTTTGGTCATGTGATGAGAAGAGAGACATTAGAGAGCATCGTGATGACTGGAAAGTGTAACTGCTAAAAAGAAAAGGCAGACCAAGAGAGACGGTGCTTAACGGTCTGAAACGATGTCATGGTGGACAAAGACTGCTTTAAACAGCCATCGTCTTTTCCTAATCTCTTGATTTACAGGAATTAGTTCTGTTATCTCTCAAAGCTCCAAGGTGGTGATTTTTAGACCCTTTATTTCACTATATTCTAGGCAGGTAACAGTAAATAAATGTTTATTAGTCGCTCTACCTATGTGTTCGTTCTGACCTACGGGTGTGAGGTATGAGCACTGACAACAGCTCACAAAAGTAGGCTTTGGGCGTCGGAAATGAGTAATCTGAGAATGGTGGTTCAAGTGACATGAGGGGACCAAGTTCGCAGCCAGGCAAAACGTCATGATCTTCAAACACAGGCCGTATAAACACGTGTGGATCAGTCACAGCTAAGATGTTTTGAACATGTATACAGATTGGCAAAGAATCGCCCACCATGGCGGACATGGAAGGCCTAGAACCAGGGAACTTGACAATCAGGACGAGCCAGGTTTCGCTGAAAGGACAACATCCGTCAGACCCTGACTGACAAGAGTATAGAAATGGAACAAACCCCAAAAAAAAAATGCCGATAAGAGATGCCTGGCGATCTCTTTGGCAAACCTCTACACCCCAGGGTAAAAGAGAATCAAATATGTAAGTAAGTATATTGATAACCGTTTTAATAGTGCTCCGTGATAACAAGAGGCGTGTCGGCACAAAACCAACATCGAAATGTGTCGGTAGACAACGGATCAAATGTTTGGGCACGTAACAAAGTTGATAAAAGACAGGGAATCACAGAGAGCAATGTAATGCAGATACAACGGTAACATAACCAGAGGTCGACCACGCAGATAATGGACCGTAAAAATATCGGAAACAATGAAAAGTACTTTATATAAAGCGAACAGAAGGGCCCGTTCCAGAGTTCCATTCCTTCCCTGACGCTGCGAGAAAAGAAGAAGCAGACGTTTGGTCTACATTATTTCTGTGGTTTTCAATTTTAAGCAAGTTTGCTTTTTAACATGCCTTCAGATAATTCACAAAAAAAAAATAGAAACAATTCATCAATATTCGCCTGAATTATTTTTGTCCCGACTAACGGTCGCCAGAAAGCATGTATCTAAACAATTATTCATTCATTTTCCGAATTATTCTTTTTTGTGAAAAAGTGCACTTCGCGACTTGTAGGGTTCGTTATAGGCAAAGATTTGAAACAAATTAACAGCGCTACTTTTAATATCTTCAGAGTCAAAAGCATTCGTTCCCGAATATGCACGGAACCATTGGCGGAATTGGGGGTCTATGAATGGGCACTGAGTACACAAATATTCATGCCCTTTCTATGTAAACACACGAGTCAACATGACAATCCAGACCGGTGTCACGGAAGGGCGCCATTGCTTTGTCCTTCAGGTTGTTCAAAATATGCGTTCACGCATCCGTATAGGAAGAATTCTTCTGTTTATTAATACGTTCGGGAGGCGACATCAACGAATAATAATAGTACACTTATGTGTGTTCACACTGGAATTATGAAAATAACATTCCACTGAAACAGAGCTATGTGTACCCGGTCAGTGGCTTCTAAAAGCCACTTTCAGTTGGAAGTCGGGTTGAATGGTGTTTTGATTTCTAACCAATGAGTGGCTTTCCGGTTTTGTCCAGGGTTGAAATGGTATGCATCATGCGGAGAAGTGGAGACCAAAGGAGTTCGATTTTTATCACTGGGAGTTAAGGATTAGCTGTAGCAGACAAAGGATTAACAACGGGTATAGAGTGTGCTGTCACGTGCTGGGGGGGGGGGGAAGGGGGGGGGGTGACCTCTTGCACCTAAGGACAGTTAATTTTCAGAGGAGAATATACAGTCTGTCTTGCAACGTCATTGAGTACAGGATTTATAAGTGGAATGATTGTGTGTAGTTCGTTTTTTATTTATGACTGGCAGATTATAAGTCCGATTTTTCCCAATTGTGACCAGGATTGTAATGCTGGTTGTCCCCACTGGTCAAATGAAATTAGAACGACGGCTAGCTGTATATGCAGCTTATTTTATACAACCATGTTTGGGTCCCACCCGGGTCTTACTTTAGAGGGCGAACAGGGACAGTAGTCACATTGTCCCTAAGCAAGCATGCCGTAAAAAAAGTGATTAATTTAGGATTTACAGAATCAGATGTATAGGGCCGCAAAGTGCAGATATCACTGCCTCGTCTTTAAACACAACACAACATGCTAGTGGTCCTTTCATGTGCACATACATATATGGAAATGGGGGTGGGTGGGGGGGGGGGGTGGTGATGTCACCAGTTGTTGGCTGAATATCCTCTACAGGACGCTACAGAACCAGCCCTAGCATTTATTTTTGTTGTTGTTGCCAATTCTGGTTTAGATAGGCCAATTTTAAGTTTAGTTGCCAAAACTGAACGGTCGGTTCTCAATACCACTGTCGAAACCAACGCAGGGCGAACAATAGCCCGCAGCTAGGATCAAACCAGGTACAACAGCATTAGGCGCGTTCGCAACGCCCAAGCCACAGATGCCGACTTGGTATCTTATACCGCCACTTGTAGGATACTTGCCTTTTATTATGCGTGGATATTTTGTCGAAATTTAAGCGGACGAATTATACTTTGTTGTGGTGGTATGTGGGTTAGGGGGAGACGGGCGGGGGTGACAATCTTGAGCGACCAGGTGTTGGGTAATCATCAATATCTTTCGCATTCGTTTGAGTTGAGTTGAATCAAGCAGCATCCAGCGCAGAGTTCAGATACTGATGGCACCGGTCACAATCTGGTAGTATGTCCGTCCTGCCTTTCCTCTTAAGTGTACTGAGCCGGCCAGACCCTCTGGTTATATCCAGATTTCTCATTCTCTCCTGGCCATAAAAACATTCTGCCTCTACTGATTGGTATAATCTTTCAGTCTGCGCCCATAGTGGGGTTCATCTTCAATCACTCACCGGACTACAGGTTACATACATAGCACCAGAGTTTCTCGGATTTCTAACTGTTTGATTGTTATCCTTTGGAAGTTAAGTTTATCTGGAGTTGAAATTAAAAAAAAAAAAAAACCGTTATCAACATACAAAAACACATAGATTGATACAAAAATATTTTTGTGGGCAAAAACATGTTTATATAATGGCATAAGTTAAGAAGAATGAAGATACAGTTTTGCTCAAATTAAAGATCAGAAAGACACAATATACACAGTATATTTTTTCATCATCATCATCATCATCATCGTCAAGATTGTCTTTTCTTCTTCTTCTTCTTCTTCTTCTTCTTCTTCTTCTTCTTCTTCTTCTTCTTCTTCTTCTTCTTCTTCTTCTTCTTCTTCTTCTTCTTCTTCTTCTTCTTCTTCTTCTTCTTCTTCTTCTTCTTCTTCTTCTTCTTCTTCTAACCCCCCTCCCCCCCCCCCAATCCCAAAAAAAACCCTCCCACTTATATCATAGGGTCCATGATCCCAAATGAGATTTCTTAACGCTGTAAATATCAATATAGATTCTTCTGAACTGCATTGAGGGCTCTCGATATCA